TGTTTTTCAAGGAATTCTTGAAGAGCGCCTTTCTCCAATTTTTTTAAAGGTATATAGGACTGGATCATCATTTTACATAAATCGAAATTAAACTGAAACTGCTCATCTTTTGTGGAAGTAGATGCAACAGATTCATGTATGGTCTGCTGTTTAATTTTAGAAACTTCAAGTATTTTCTTCCTTTCTACATGAAGAGTCGTTCTGACACGTTGCGTCACGTTATATTTTTTATCACTTTGAATCGAAAACAACGTACATATACAGGATTAACAAAGGAAAATAGATAAAAAAAAAATAGTGGGCTTACGGTTTTCACACAAGCTCTGCAGAATATTTTGTTGTTTTCTAAACTTAATTCTGGAAAATCCCTAATCCACTCATCCGGCGTCGATTTTACTTTCGGCATTCTTTTAAAATATGAGTAATATTACCAAAAAGAACTCAACATGTAACAAGGGAGAACCACGTATAACACTGTACTACGACAGATGCGATAGACTGATGGTAGTGAAATAAACAGTTCATTTATTTATTTATTTACTAGCTGACCCCGTGAACTTCGTTTCACCTACAACTTAATTTTGAATCTGCAAACCGAATGCTTTGAAATCTTGCAGATGTTTTAAACATCTGATAAGCATAATAAATTTGTATTGAAAATAATACTTACTTCCTCCAAAAAATTAATGACGTCAGCCCAAAATTTTGCCAAATGAATCCTTTTTAAAATATCCAAAATAGGATGAGACTATACTTGTGATTTGACTTGTCATTCCATTCATATTTTTTAGTTTTGCTTATAGGGGGTGTCTCAAAAAAAATTAACCACTGAGTCAGTTTATTTTACTGATTGAATCAAGAATTGCAAAACTAAATTTTTAGATTTATTGCAGACGTTTTGAAGGTACTGTTTGACATGATACGTTTTTAATTAAACTATATCTGTTTATCAAGCCCAAAAACTTGATGACGTCATCTCAAGATTTTGCCGAATAAATCCTATCTAAAATGTGCAAAATATCATCAGTATATTTTCGTAAATTTATCATTGCATTCGTATTTTTTAGATTTGCTTTTACAGTGACAAAAAAAAATGTATGGATCAGTCAATTTATTTTAGAAAATAACTCAAGAGTTGCAGAAATGACATAATTAATATAATTCATAATGTTTAAATATGATAACTATTAATATGTGATAGTTAAACCGAAAAGCATTTTCCTAAGAACACGAGGTTAGCAAAAACAAATTAGTTTGTTTAAACATTGTTAAATTAACCCCGAACATGTACAATTTCTGAGCGAAAATATAAAAAATAATTTTTGCAATCTCATCGTGACGTACGATGACGCCACTGTCACGTGAGCCACCTGATAAAAGGTCACATTTTTCGGTCCTCTGCGTTTAGTTTTGATTTCGGTTTGGTGGCAGCAACATCAGAGTCCGTTTTGGCTTAAAAGTAGGGCTCTTTTCACGAATTTCTAATTTATATATTTAAATATTAGTGAAAATGTGTTGTATTAGTACTGTGAACACGAACGAAAATGGATATTTCTTCGAAAAGGACCGAAAACAGGGTAAGTTCGAGTTCAGTTTTAATTTATCGGATTCCGTGATTCGTTCACTCGACAATATTTAAATTTTGGGAAAATTTTCGAAACGATTGAAATCGGTTGATCAAAGCTATACATTTTCACGACATAAATAAATAAATTTTAAACATAATTAATATCATTTATAATGTTTAAATATGATAAGCATCAATGTATGATAATTAAACCGAAACCCGTTGTCCTACAAGCCCGAAATTATTAAAAACAAATCAATTTGTTTAAACAATGTTAAATTATCCCCGAAAATGTGCATTTTCCCGGCCAAAATATGAAAAATAAATTTTGCAATCTCATCGTGACGTACGATGACGTCAATGTCACCTGAGCTACTTGTATAAAGGTCACGTGTTTCGGTCCTTTGTGTTCAGTTTTAATTTCTGTTTGATGGCGGCAAGATCGTCGCTTCATTTCGGCGTAAAAGTGGAGCGTTTTAGCGAATTTCTAGTTTATTATTAACACATATTACGGAAAATATGTTGTGTTAGTGCTGTGAACACGAACGAAAATGGATATTTTTCCGAAAAGGACCTAAAACAGGGTAAGTACGACTTCAGTTTTAATTTATCGGATTCCGTGATTCGTTTCGTCGACAATGTATACATTTTGGATAAATTTTCGAAACGATTGAAGTTGGTGGGTCAAAGCTATACATTTTCGCGATATAATTAAATAAAATTTAAACATAATTAATACAATTCATAATGTTCAAATATGATAACTATCAATATATGATAATTAAACCGAAATCCGTTTTCCTAAGAACACGAGGTTAGTAAAAACAAATTAGTTTGTTCGTGACGTACGATGATGTCACTGTCACGTGAGCTACCAGACAAAAGGTCACATTTTCGATCCTTTCTGTTCAGTTTTGATTCCGGTCTGGTAGCACCAACATTGGAGCTTCGTTTTGGGTTAAAAGTAGCACATGTTCGCGAATTTCTAATTTATTGTTAATAAATATTAGCGAAAATGTTTTGTGTTAAGTGCTGTGAAGGAAAGTGGATATTTTTCCAAAAATGCCCGATTTTATTTTAAATATGTTGTTAATAACATGCATTCAGGACTGATAAAGTACGCCTTTAGAATATACAAAGTACTGCGTTCATAATTCACAAAATACCGTATTCATCATTTTTAAAGTACGGCGTTCAAATTTACAAAATACGGTGTCCTTTACCCATGCTATCAAACCTTAGTCCTCTCTTTTAATGGCAAGACGCACTCCAGACCTCCTCGTATTGTTTGGTTCTTGCTGGGCAACAGCAACGAGCGAGCAAAGTCATCGCTCTTTGGTGGCAAACGTGGAGAAATTTGTATATTGTAACTTTTGTAATTGAAGCATTTTGTACTGTATATTGTATGTGTTACTAACTTAACTTGGGTCTTGCCAATTTAGCTCCAGTGGTGCAAATGCTTTGTTTTCATGGTGCATTTGCTTGGGTTTTAATTTTGCAACAGTGCATTCTTTGGTTCAGAGTCTGAATTCTCCATGTCGTCAGACGCTTTGGCCTGGGGGGGTATTGTTGGCCCTTAGACGCTGGGTCGCATCATCCGATAAGGATGAGGTCAGTCGGCCTTGGATTTATGCGGCTGCGTTCTCCCTTGGGCGTGTGAGCGCTGCGACCAATAGATTTCGTTCCGAGTTCCATGGGTGTCCTTGCTTGGGTTTTCATTTTGCAACATTCTCAATTTTTGGTGCAATTTCTTCCGGTGGTGTATTGGCTACTAACTTTGCATTTGTATTGTATCTGAATTGTATCTGTATCTGTAGTGTATTCTGTATTGTAGTTAGATTGTAGGTACCTGTATTGTATTTCCATTGTATTGCACTGTATAACGTTCTATCCCTCATTAACAAATCCTAGCCCTCTCCTTTCCTAGCGAGATCTGCTCCAGACCTTCCCGTGGTTCTTGCTGAGCATCAACTATCGAGGACAGAAAATTCAAATTCAAAACCAGCAAAGTTTCACAAAAATCTTGAAAATCGTTCGTTGGTGGCCAACGTGGAGCAAAAGAGACTTTTGTAACTCAACTATCTTTGTTAACTTTGTATTCTTAAGGAAACAAAAATATATTACATTTAATTTATTATTTATAAGGACAAATAGTCATTTGCCACACCGATGCTCATTTTTAGATTAAATGCTCACAAAACGCGTAGATGTTCAATTTGTGTCCGGGGAGATACAATGTGTGCAAGTAGGTACTTCATACTTCGAATATGAGTATCTATTCAGTTTTATTCATACCACCCAATGTCTCGCTTCAATGTTTGACTATTATGTTGATTATGAGCACAACGCTGATCAACTTCCGTATCCGAATTACCCATGAAATAAATCATTGCGATTTGCACCTGAGGTAGTTCGTCGCACATTTGATTGACTTCGTGGACGTATGTCAGCTTGTCGTCTTCTCAGCATAAAACGACATAGAATTATTTTCACCGTCAATCATATCTGTAAATTTTGTCTTGAGAATTTTAAAATATTGAAAATTTCAAATTAAATCCTCGAATAACGGTAAAGTTTGAGGTTTTGTCGAAACCAACAAAGTGAATACTATACGTAAATAGAATGGCAGATCAAAATTAATAAGAAACTTTCGCAATGCGTAACTAAATTCACTTTAACGAACACTTTTCTTAAAATAAACGACGTTTCTTGTTACGAAAAAACAAACAACGACTTGAAATGCAATAATACTTTTCACAATCGCACGGAAGAAGTAGTTTTGTATGACACGACGGTTGGGCGACAGCTCTGTCAGAAACGCCAACTATTCAAATTCATTCGAAGTGGCGATTCCCATGCAAAAGTTTTATTTTTTTTTAAACTTTTACCCGTCTTATTTTTTATAAATTTTCTTACATATAAACCTTGTCCTGACAATAAGGAACACGTAAAAAAAGAATCGTCCAATTCGGTGCAGCCGTTCTGAAGTTATGAGCGTCCATACATTTCGGCGATTCATTTTTATTAATATAGATTTATTTATTTATTCAACGGGATACCCCTTAAGATACATACAATTAATAGTAAAACAAAAAGATCCAGAAGGACATAAAAATTAAATATAAACGCAAAAATAAATAAAAGTTAACTTTCCAAAAAAAAAAAAAACAGATATAAAATAACCTGAGTAAATATACCTAAATTTAACAAAATTTAACAAAACATATTCTAACATACAGAACAGAATATATATTCTTAACAAGTTTAGACGCAAGCTAAGAGGTTAACAAGTTTCTTACTTTATTCTTAAATTTCCCTTTGGTTGTATTAAACAATAGAAATTGATCGTGATTTACCAGCCGATTAGCCTCTCTCATCATACGCAATAAAGGATGATTTCCAAACTATAGGTTTAAAATTAACATTGCAAATATTTTACTGTTCGACCAATTTTGTTTATTATTATTATTTAGGTACATCCAAAGCGGTAATGAAATATAAAATATTGTGTAAATATTTAAATAAAGACGTCAATCCTGGTGTAAGTGCAGACACAGGTACTCGGTATGCTAAAAGTCCGGAACTCCAACCCCTCATCCGGATAATTCACCGTCACCAGCTTAATATCGTTGAATTTTTGCAAACAGGTCGCCTTAAAACCAACAATACTCTCCAGACCGCAGTGTCCTCCATTTTCATACCTGAAAAACAACCAATTATTTTTCACTAAAAAATGACTAAAGCATGCTCAATCCGCGACTGCGTCTTACCGGCAAACCTGGTACGTCACCACCTGGGAAAACCCTTCGACGTTGGCGATGATCCTCGTCGCCCCATCAATGTCCGACATCTGCCTGGGGACGACCGACACGTCTTTGGTTTCGCAGAAGGGCGTCGGCCCTTCGTCGTAGTACCTACTCCCTAGCGACATCACCCTCGACGGCTGGATGATCCTCCCTCCGAAGTACGACTGCAACGCCGAGTGTTTCTGGATCAAGTTCGAGACCTCCGCCTCCGGGTAATTGGCAACGCGTTCGCAGATGTTAAACATGCAGTCTTCGACATCGTGCGGTGTACCCTTGTTGTAGCGAGTTTGAGAGTCTGCGAACTAGTCGGAATGTCAAAAAGGCATTGGAAGTGCGCTGGGTACTTACGACGTAGGAGAGCTGCAGGAGCAGGAAACCGATCCGAGTGAAAGTCACCATGGCTGACAGATTTCTTAAAACAAAATTATGTAATAATTGATAACAGTAGGATAATAATTGAAATTATTTTTTTTTTTGAGAAAAATAATCCAAAATATGTATCAAAGTGTTTTTCTTTTAATTTTCAACACATTGGATGGTTTCACAACTGTACTACACGTGGCAACGTAGCTGAAGTGTGAACGTGGAGTCAACTATTAAGTATATGTTTATAATAACACTGATGTCATCCAAATCATTTTCTGTGTTTTTGTACTATACCTATTCAATCCAATGCAAGTCTAGACGATTACTCATCTTTATCTCACTTTAGTATAAAAATTATTATTATATATTTTCAAATATAAATACGGGGTGTCTAAAAAATGGCGGATTAAATCTTCAGTACGGTATGTTCGGGAATTTCGGAGGTCCTAAAAAATAATAAAAAATTCTCTATAATCTAGATTACATAAACCAAAAAAAAAAGACATTTTTGACTTTTTTGTAAAATTTAGTGATCAGACTATTTCAAAATTAATATATGATAATAAATATGAAAAAAAAAAAATGAGTGTAATGTATTTCTATGGATAAGTTTAACTGGTTGCCGAACATCTATATTTAAAGATCAAGCACGAGAACAATGAACGATAAATTAGTTAAATAATTATCAGCACGGTAAAACTTTTGTGATTTTTAAAAATGTAAAGTCGTAAATAATCGCGATTAAATTTTACTTAGTAACATTAATCTTTCCAATAATGATGACTAAGAAAAACTACAACGTGGCGACCCCTCTCAATTTTGCATAGTAAATATGTAGTGTTTAAATTTTATTAAATATCATACTCCTGTATTTGTGGTTTATGAATCCACCCATAGTTAGACAATTAATACTTTTCTTGCAACATCATACTTAAAAACATGTTTCATATGGTAGTTTCTTGTGGAGAAATACGATTTTGCAATTAAACTCCGCCCCTCGGCTCACGACGAATAAGAAAATTCATCACAATTGAGACGAGGGCGGGTGGGCGGGGTTTGTATTTTGTTCACGACAAGAAACTGAAAATTTGTTTAAAATGGTAAATTTTGTAGACAAGTGTACGAGATAAAATTTACCATTTTAAACATGTTTGCAGTCTTTTGTTGTGAAGATTATGTATATTAAGAAGAAAAAAAAAGTTAAATAATACACCCCGCCCACCCGCCCTGTCCCATTTCTAACGATTTTTCTTTATTCGTTGTCAGCAAGGAGGCGGAGCTTAATTGCAAAATCCTTATTGTTCTATGAAAAATTACCAAAATGATCGCAATATTATATTACCGCTTCAATCCATGAACTCCATCTTGTCAGAACAGGTTCTGGAGGCAATGAACAATACGGTAAGGCTTCCCGGAAGGTGTGAATCCTCAAATGAGCTTTAAGAAATACTTACTTTACGTTGGAAATTACACCATTGACATCCTCATATTGATTCCGGGTAACTTCAACTACTAACTTTGCCCCTTGGTCGGACAACCAATGAACAATTCGTCACATTTGATGTTAGGGCGGGTGGGTGGGGCTTATTTTTAACTTTTTTTTTTAACATGTATACTTTTCTTTCAACATCATACTTAAAAACATGTTTGACATGGTAGTTTCTTGATGAGAAATAAGCATTTTCCAATTAAGCTCCGCCCCTCGGCTCACGACCTATAAGACAATTCATCACAACTGAGATGAGGGCGGGTGGGCGGGGTTTGTATTTTGCCTAAGAAACTCAAAATTTGTTTAAAATGGTAAGTTTGTAGAGAAGTGTGAGAAATAAAATTTACCATTTTAAACATGTTTTCAGTCTTTTGTTGTGAAGATTATGTATATTAAGAAGAAAAAAAAGTCCATTTTTGTAAGTCTAGTTCGTCATTTGGCATAGAAAACTTCAGCCTTCATCTAATCAAAAAAAACTATGACATCCAAAAGCGGAGGTGGGTGGGGTTAGTTTTACTTTTTCGTCCAATAAAATGAGTGACCAAAAAGAAAACCGTGTCGGTGGGTGGAGCCACTTCAATGTTTTATCGCACACAAGATATTTGTAATATTATTAAGGACTACCAACGTCTGGGGTTATAGAACTTTAAAAACAATACTCATTGAATTTGTGTAAAATCATTAATAGCTAAAAAAAATTTTAAATGTGACATTCATTATTTTCTCCCAACACCCTTAAACTTAATTAAATTTCTTAGAGGATACATCATTTGCTAAAATCAGGTCTTATCTTAGCAGGTACTAGGCTGACCCGCCCGCCCTCTATTTTCTTAGAGATAATATGTCATTTGTAAAATCTTAGTCTTAAGAAAGGGTGGGTGGGCGTGGCTAGTATCTGCTAAGATAAGGCTGAATTTGGTAAATGACTTCCTTTTTTTAGAGGGTGCCATTTGCCAAAATCGATCATATTTTAGCAGGTACTAGCCCCGCCCACCCGCCCTCTCCTTTCTTACAGGGCCTCTCATTTGCCAAAATCACCCTTATCATAGCAGGTACTAGCCCCGCCCACCCACCCTCTCTTTTCTTAGAACGTATGTCATCTGCCAAAATCAGTTTTAACTAAATACTCATGACTAACTTTTACAAAAAATTATCAAAATTTGGAAAAATTAGGAGCCTACGTTTTGTTCTTAATCTACATCATAAAAAAAATCTATTATTATTTTGGGACTCTCGAAACCGTCGTGCATAACGTACTGAAGAGTTAATCGGCCATTTTCCGGACACCCGGTATCTATAATAAAAATCGACATAGATAATAGAGATAGACGGAAACCGGAAAGCAATTTTTCGTATTTTTGGGGTGATGAACCGTCTAGAAAACATGAAAGTGGCCATTTAAAGCATGGAGCCCAGAAAAATACTTCCTTAGTGTATATTTTTGAAGTCGGGAAGCAAAATGAGGAAGACTATTTATAAATTATTGTCTATTCTAACTTAAATTGTAAAATGTTATGAAGTTTAGATCGTGTTGCGAAAATCTGAGTGCCCTTGGGTAAAAATCAAGGCGGGGTCATAACCCACAAGAACATAAGTATTTTATAAAATTAAAAAAAAATGACAAATTTTGAGAGAACGTCATCTAATCATTGAAGGGGATGAATAGACAAATTAATTTAGACGACACTCAGACGGAAACGGGTCACCTATTTTTTCATACTCTAGGGGCCATGAAACGTCGAGAAAACATGAAAGCTTAGCTTCTACTTGGGCAAAAGAATGGTCTGACTGATCTGAGTGGGCGTGACCTCTAATATGACGTCATCAATATTTTTAAATAGCAACACAAGTGTTCGATATTAGTTTTTAAAATTGTTTGTAAACGTAATCTGAAACATTTTTGTATTATGTAATATTAAATATTGATTTCACCCAACTAGACACAATTTTCCCAGGTTAAGAGAAAATTTATATTTAAACTCTAGGGATTCGTAGGAACGGGGTTGGGACAAATCTAAGATAGAGAATTAACAGACTAGGAAGAGGAGACTAGGAAGAGGAGGAAAAACAATATAAAACAGAAACAAGCAATTTATTGAACCGTGTAACACACATAAATAACTGTGGTCTTATTCTTCTCACTACCAATATAATTGTTTCTGTCAACTTCAACACGATTTTTACAGATGAAATTAATACAACCTTACACATTAACAACTTTAGTAAAATTGTAAAAATTGATACTAATAATACTTAACATACTAATAGTCGTGAACGAAAATTTAATCTTCTTTATTTCTGACAGTGCACACACAGTCACTTGGTATACTCACCCGAACGTACTCAGGTTTTCCGGTATCTTGATCTATTCCCAACATTGTAATAGTACTCCATCTCTGTACACATTTGGCGTGCCGGTAAGTCCCAAAACCCGATAAAGTCGTGCAATAGCTCTTGTGTTTCGATTTTCTGTTCAAAGAATACGGTGATAAATACAACATTTCAAAATTTTGCCACACTCACCTGCATATTTTGCCCCTTACGATCTGTTTACGGTTATCTTGGTTAACAATGTACATAAATTTAGAGTCGACGGTAAACACCGAAGACGGAACAAAGGTCACATCGTCTGTCCAACATACACTTTGGTACTCATCCGGCGATCCTCCACTTCTGTCACTACCATCAGGAGCTTTTTCCAGTGTTTCGTAGACAGTTTTATTCGTAAAAAACGAGTCTAGAATTGGATGACGATCAAGAATCTTCTTTACATCCTCTTGTTGACCACGATCAAGTTGGGTTTCGTTGCATATGTTGTGTTTGTAGATGCAGCCGTTGTTTATCAGGGGCAATTTGCGCTTTTGATACCGGCCACGGGACGAAGTTAGCTGAATTGAGGTTTATTAAACTCATTCTAAATAAAGTTGATTAATTGTCTCACCATGGGTACTAACAACTGCAGGATTAACATCAGAAGTATTGTGTGGTTCATGTCGAACGCAAAGTAGCAGCTACATCAAATTCGCGTCAGAAACTGAACCTAATGGACGAATTTTAAAAACGGTAGCCCGATTCACTGACGTAATGCATCTATAAATTTCCCAAGGTGTTGTACCGCAGTGTCAAATCGAAATCTACCGCCATACCACAAGCCGGAAGCTGAAAAGCCAACCATGATTAAAATTAATCATTTTGTAAATAGCGCATAACTAAAAAAAATATTTCTGTGTATTTATCCATTCGCGATCTTTATATGTATAGTAAAGTAGGCTTTGATATTTTTTCTTTAAGTTGGATAAACTGATTTGATGATTTAGTTTTTTGTCTGATAGTGATCTGATATTTTTTAATTTTCTTTTTTCATAGGTGAGAATATCCAACTGTGGCGAAAATTTCATCAACAACAACAAATCATTAAAAAAATGAAAAATGTAAAATTTATAAATTTGAAAAAATGATGAATAGAAGAACTGAAAAACCAAGAAATCGAAAAATCTAAAATTGAAAAAGGTCCCAGAATTGAGAAATCGAGAAATCGAAAAACCAAAAATTGAAAATTCAAAACATGAAGAGGTTGCAAGATTAAATCGATAAGCCGAAGGGTCGGAAAATGAAAAATAGAGGAACTGAAAAATCGAGACATCTAAAATTGAAAAAATCGAAAAAATGAAGGATCGAGAAATGAAATCCAGAAATTGAAAAATCCCAGAATTGAAATGTTGAAAAATCAAAAAATTGAAAAACCGAAAACTGAAAAATTGGAGAATGCAAAAAATTAAAAATTGAAAATTCCAAAGAAAATTCCAAACATCACGAAATTCTAAGATTGATTAATCGAAAAGCCTGAAAGTCGAAAACTCGAAAAACTTAGAAATCGAAAAATCGAAAAATGGAACAATTTTAAAAACGAAAAAACTAAGAAATCGAAAACTTGAAAATGGGGAAATAAAAAAATCGAGATGGAAGATTGATAAATCAAAAGCCCAGAGGTGGAACAATCGGAGAAACTAAACTTCGAAAAACTTGGAAAATTTATAAAACGAATAAATAAAAAATTGAAAAATCGAATAATCGAGAAATTGAATATTCGAAAAATCGGAACATCGGAAAAATCATAAAAAAATTAAAAATGTAAAACTTATAAATTTGAAAAAATTTGAATTGAAAGAATTGAGAAATTGAGAAATCTAAAAATAGAAAAACCAAAAATTGAAAATTCAAAACACCAAGATATTGCAAGATTATATCCATAAGCCGAAAAGTCGGAAAATGAAAAATAGAGGAACTGAAAAATCGAGAAATCGAAAAATCTAAAATTGAAAAAATCGAAAAAATGAAGGATCGAAAAATGAAATCCAGAAATTGAAAAATCCCAGAATTGAAATATTGAAAAATTAAAAAATTGAAAAACCGAAAACTGAAAAATTGAAGAATGCAAAAAATTAAAAATTGAAAATTCTAAAGAAAATTCCAAACATCACGAAATTCTAAGATTGATTTGATTAATCGAAAAACCTTAAAGTCGAAAAGCCGAAAAACTTAGAAATCGGAAAATCGAAAAATGGAACAATTTTAAAAACGAAAAAACTAAGAAATCGAAAACTTGAAAAATAGGGAAATCATAAAATCGAATCATTTTAAAAAGCGAAAAACCGAAAAACTGAAAAATCAAACAATTGAAAAATCGAAAAATTAAAGAATCGAAAAATTGAAAAATCGAACAAAAATTAGAGGATGTAATTGAAAGATCGAGAAATCGAAGAGGCGAAAAATCGAAAAATTCTGCAATTGAACAATCCAGAAATTGAAAGATTGGAAAGTCGAAATTTTGAAAAACCGAGAAGTCGAAAAATGGAATCACCAAAAATTAATACTCGTCAAGGTACTAGATCCGCCCACCCACTCTTTATTTTCTTGGAAGAATAGGTCATCTGCCAAAAATAATCTTATTTTAGCAAGTATGAGACCAATTTTTGCAAATGATATATTCTTAAACATAATAGGGGTGGGTGGGCGGGGCTAGTATATGTCAAGATAAGACTGATTTTGGACAATCACATATGCTCCAAGAAAATAAGGTTGGGTGGGCGGGGCTAGAACTTTCTAAGATAAGATAGATTTTGGCAGACGACTTATTCCTCTAAAAAAATAAAAAAAATTAAAAATCAAAAATCGACAATTTGAAAAATAAAAAATGGAACTGCAAATTCGAAAAATAGAAAAATAGAAATATGTAAAATTTAAGAAATCGAAAAATTAATATGTTGACGAAATGAGTAATCGAAAAATTGAAAAATCCAGAAATTAAAAAAATCCGAAAGTTGAAATGTTGAAAAATTGAGAAATCGACAAATTGAAAAATGGAACAATTTTAAAAACGAAAAAACTAAGAAATTGAAAACTTGAAAAATGGGGAAATCAAAAAATCGAACTATTTGAAAAAGCGAAAAACCGAAAAATGGAAATATCAAACAATTGAAACATTAAAGAATCGAAAAACTGAAAAAGCGGGAAATTTGAAAAAGTCGAAACATCGAAGAGATTGAAAAACTGAAAAATCGAAAAACTGAAAAATCCAAAGCCGAGAAGTGGAAAAAACTCAGAAATCCAAAACTTGAAAATTCGGGAAATCTAAAAATCGAACCATTTTAAAAAGTTTAAAACCGAAAAGTCGAAAAATCAAATAATTGAAAAACCGAAGAATTAAAGAATCAAAAAAATGAAAAAGCGAAAATTTAGAAAAAGTCGAAACATCGAGATGGAAGATTGATAAATCATCCCAGAGGTGGAAAAATCGGAAAATCTAAACTTAGAAATATTTGGAAAATTTAAAAAACGAATAAATAAAAAATTGAAAAATCGAATAATCGAGAAATTGAATAGTCGAAAAATCGGAAGATCGGAAAAATCATTAAAAAAATGAAAAGTATAAAACTTATAAATTTGAAAAAATAATGAATAGAAGAACTGAAAAATCAAGAAATCGAAAAATCTAAAATTGAAAATTCCAAAGAAAATTCGGAAAATCGAAAAATTGAATCATGAAAAGATCGAGAAATTGAAAAATTAAGAATTGAAAATCTGGAAAAATTTAAAAAATCGAAAAATCGAGAAATCAAAAAATTGAAGAATCAAAGAGTTGGAAAATGGAATAATCGAAAAAACTAAAAAATTGAAAAGTTCAAACCCGAGAAGTGGAAAATCGAAAGATGGAAAAAATTACCCAAAAATTGAAAAATTAAAATTCAAAAAATCGATATAGAAAAATTGAAAAATCAAAACGAAAATTTGATAAATCGAGAATGGAATAATTCAAAAACTGAAAAATGTAAAACCGAGAAGTCCGAAGATCGAGAATTCGAATCATCACAAATTAAAAAATCTTAATATGTCCAAAAAAAAGAAGAGAAAAGTGAATAATTCAGAAATCGAAAAATGGAACAATTTTAAAATCGAAAAATTGAAAAATCCAAACATCGATAAATTAGAATATCGGTACCTAAATCGAAAAGCCGAAAGATGAAAAACTTGAAAAACCTGGAAATCGGAAAACCAAAACATCGCGAAATCTAAACATCAAAAGATCGAGAAATAGAAAACTGAAGAATTGAAGAAACATAAAGGATTAACAAAATGAAGAAATGAAAACTGAAGAATCGAGACGTCGAGTAATCGAAACATCGAAAAGTTGAGAAATGGGAAAATCTAAAAGTCGGACAATGAGATATCGAAACATAAAAAAACGAGGAATCGAAAATTCGTAAAATTTTAATACATTTACGTATTTTTTTTTGTTGCTGAGGAAGGTCAATCAAATTTTGGCTAGCGGTTTATCATCTACATGATACGTGCATTTTGTTTGTGCCTAATCTGAAAACCAACTTGAGGTCAATTTCGAACCTTCTTTTAACAACATTGCAAATATTTTACTGTTCCATCTGACAGCTGAAATATTGAAAAACCTAAAAATGGAAGGAAAATCAAAGAATCGAAACAGCGAAAAAATCCCAAACTGAAACATCGAAAAATTGAGAAATGGAGAAATGGGAAAATAAAAAAAATCGGAGTTTAGACAGTAGGTACTTCCCTCGCTATCGGAAACGTGACGACTGCATGCCTATTATGTTTTGTTGTTAGTTTTTGTTAAAAACTCTGCTAACCAATAGATCATTAATTTTCCTCTGATATTCCTGTTAAAATTATTCGACGTATTTTGCATTAATTTGTGGTATATTTTGATTTTAATAAACACATTATTATTTAAACAAATTGTACCACTAACAAACATTTAATGACTCTGCGCCCTGTAAAAAGTGATATTTTATCCATGTGCGAATTTTCAAGCGATTCTATGATGGTTATGACCCAAAAAACTTGAGAAGAAAACATACAATGGTGCTTTTTTTACGATATTTCTCAGCCATATTTTTTTAGTTGATTGAACTGGTCTCTGCGCTCTAGAATACGAAAAAGCTGCAGTTTGATGTATGATACATCTATGTTAATATCATTTTTTCATACAAAAACCCCAAAAAATGTTATACCTCGTCTAGCGAGTCCCCTTAACTGCATATTTAACACAAACAGTAGCAATGTAGTCAGTGGCGTCGCGCCTGAAATACCTGCCATATCTCCATGACCGTCTAATAGCTAATTTGCGCGAACTTTTCCGTTAATTTTTTCAAGTCCATGGGTTTCTCGTCTAAGACAAGCTTTACTTGCTTTGATAAGACGTAGACGACCTGGAAGGGTATGCATGTTAGTGCGTCAAACAACGATGGGTTAAGCCAGGTCAAACTGGTCGGAATCAACTTGTACAAACTTTATCGTAGTCGTGAATGGTGGAAGCTTTCATTTCGCGTCGCGTTTTCGAAAGAAGCCACATGGTCCTCGAGAAGAGCTCGAAAAAGAACGGGGTTTTGGACGAGCACGTAAAAATAGTTGGTTGATAGCAAGCACTACTCCTGTCTGGGTCCATTCCAACATGCAGAATTTTTGCCAACATTCGCACAACTCTTGAATGAATAATAATATTAGACGGAGTTGGTTTATTTTGGTTTGATTCACCTCTCGCTGGACGCGATGATGCCGGGCTCGTAGATTTTTTCCTCGACTTGGGATTGGTAGAAGTTCTTGTTGTGGTGCTTCTTGTAGTGTCCTAGAAAACGTTGTCATATTATGAAAATTAGTTTTTTTTACGTACTAAGGGCTTCGATGGTTAAGAGGCAGGGCTTCAAGTGTTCGTACTCGATGCTTTCGTTGGTGGCGGTGCTCTGGACTCTAGCGGAGTATCGCGAGTTTTCGCTGTATCTGGAGGACATGGACGCTAAAGAAATACTGGAATTTTGTTTGTTTTACGATTTTTGGTTAAAATTTTTGGTTTTGTTACCGAACGTCGTCGTATTCTAGTAAGTTGTCGAAAGAAGCCGTTTTGTGTCTGGTGGAAGGCTTGTCGAAGTCCATTAACAGGGTCATTTTTTTCATTTCGCAGTCGAGGGGTTCGAATTCGTCGCGGAAAAATAGGTCCGATTCTGGGACGACGCTGGTGAGGGGTTCTGCAAGAAGACTACGAGAAGATAAATAAACAATATGAATACTTTAAAAAAATTAATAAACAAAAAAGGTGACAAAAAGAGCTTCAAAAAAAGGATTCTGTTTGGTAAATCTCACTCTTAGATTTTTAAGTTTCTTGGTTTTTAATCTTTCGATTTTTTTATTGTTCTTTTCTTCAATTTTTCAAGTTCTTGATTTCCAATTTTTCGTTCTTACTTTTTCGATTTTTCATTTTTAACTTTTCGACTTTACAATTCTGCAATTTTTTGATTTTTTTATTCGTATAGTTGAAAAACTGAAAAAGTGGAAAATTAACAAATGCCAGAAGGAAAAATGTACGAATCGAACAACTGGAAAATCCAAAAATTGTAAAATCGAAAACGTACATATAGAATAGTCAAAATTGTAGCATGGAAAGATCGAAAAACTGAAAAATTAAATATCGAGAAACGAAACATTAATTAAATGAAAAATCCAAAAATTGGAATTTTTACTTCGAAAAAACGGAAAAATTATAAAATGAAAACATTGAAAAACCGAAACGAAAAATTGCAGAATAAAAAATTCAAAAATTAAAAGTAGAAAACTCATGGAATTGCAAAAAAAATAAAAATAAAGTAAATAAAAAACCGACTTTAAACGTATGTTTAATATTTTATTGTTGTGACTCTTTACCTATTTTTTGGTGTATTTATAACCTAAAAAGATGACAAAAACAAGTTCAAGTTCACACAATCACCATATAATAATAAATAATTGGTTACGTAAGTGGTTTTGAGGTTAGAAAAATTGGTAGCGTAATTTTCCGATTTTTTAGCTTTTCTTTTTTACAATTTTTTTTAATCATTCGATTTTCCAATTTTTACGTAGTTTCGCTTTTGGAATTTTTCAATTTCTTGATTTTTCAGTTTTCGCGATTTTGGATTTTTGATGTCTCGGCTTTTCGATTTTTCGATATTTCAATTTTTCAGTGTTTTAAATTTTAGATTTTTCGATGTTTCAGTTTTGGGAAATTTCATTATTTCGATTATTCAGTTTTTTGGTATTTAATTTTTCAATTTTTAAAGCTTTAGATTTTTCAATTTGTCGATATTTCGATTTTTCACTTCTTTGATACTTCAATTTTTGGATTTTTAAATTTTTTAGTTTTATGGAGTTTCGGTTTCTTGATCTTTCAATTTTTCGCCTTCTCGGTTTTTCAGTTTTTCCGTTTTTAAATTTTCCGATTTTTCAGTTTTTGAATTTTTCGATGTTTCGAATTTTCGACTTCTCGGCTTTTTGATTTTCCAATTTTTCGATTTTTCAGTTATTCGATTTTCTGATTTTTCGTAATTTCAGTTCTGGAATTTTTCGATGTTTCGAATTTCCGACTCTCGGCTTTTCGATTTTTAAATTTTAGATTTTGGATTTTTCAATTTTCCGATATTTTAATTTTTCAATTTGTTAAATTTTAGATTTTTCGATTTACTCATTTTTCGAATTTTTAAATTTTTAATTTTTCAGGTTTTTGATTTTTGATTTTTGGGTTAGTCGATTTTTAAAATGTCTTATTTTTTTCAAGTTTTCGATTTCTCAGTTTTTCAACATGTCAATTTGGGATTATTTTGCGATTTCCCGATTTTTTGATGATTCGATTGCTCAATCTTTTCGGATTTCGATTTTCGGTTTTTTCCAATTTTTTGATTTTTACTTTTTTTATTCGAATTCGAAAAATTGAAAATTGAAAAAGTGGAAAATTAAAAAATTGCAAGTCTAAGAACCCAAAAAACGAAAAATTGAAACATTGAAAAACTAAAAGTCGGGAAACTTAAAAAAAATTGACAGAAGGAAAAATGAATGAATCGAAAAATTGGAAAAGTCAAAAATTGTGAAACCGAAAAATTGTAACATGGAGAGATCCATTGATAAAGATAAAAAACTGAAAAATTAAATACCGAGAAACGAAACATTATAAACAGAAAAATTAAAAAATAAAATAAATGAAAATGAATAAATGAAAAATCCAAAAATTGGAAAGTTTTACTTTGAAAAAAAATGAATAATTATAAAATAAAAACATTGAAAAAGCGAAACGAAAAACTGCAAATCGAAAATTTGAAGAACCAAAAATTGAAAGTCGAACAAATGAAAAAGTTTAAAAGTGCAATCATTGAAGAATGGAAATTTTCTAAAATCGTAAAATTGAAAAAGTGAAAAATTGTAAAAATTAAAATTATTATTACAAATTAAAATTGAAAATCAAAAATTGAAAAAACCAAAAACTAAAAAATCTAATACTGAAAAATCGAAAAATGTTCATATTTTTGTTGTGTTTTTTCAAATTTTTTACCATCTCTTTGTGGCACTTATTTATAATCTGTGTTTTATTCTGTTTTGTCGGCTTTTGCGGCATTTTTTATCGCTTTTTTGTCGCATTTTTTGTATTTGGCGTCTTTTTGTCACCTTTAACGTAATTTTAATCGTTTTTTTGCGAGGAAAAAAGCCTTTTTCTCATCTGTCCAATTTTTAACCATTTTTGTCACTTTTTTTATGTATTTTTTTAAATTCTTATTTTGTCGCCTCTTTTTGACATTTTTCAATCGTCTTTTGTCGCTTTTTTATCGCTTTTTTTGTTAGTTTGTTTTTTGGCGTTTTTTAATACATTTTTTACGATTTTTTTCTATGACTTTTTGTTATCTTTTTTTGTGACAAAGCAAGCTACAACCTTTTTTTTTGTCGGTTTTTTTTATCGCATATTTTGTGAGTTTTTTGTCGTCTTTTTTCATAATACATTTTTTGTAGCCCTTTTTTGTAGTTTTGTTTTTAGAATTTGGTCCCTCTTTTATGGAATTCTTATAATCCATTTTTATTTTTGTTTTGTTACTTTTTTATAACTTTTTTTAATCGCAATTTTTGTTTCTTTTTGATCTTTTTTTTATGGTGCATTTTTTTGTAATCTTTTTTACTGGCTTTTTGCAATATAAATATAACATATTTTTTGTGTGGACGTCTTTCTTGTTTTTCTGTGGCATTTTTGTGACTTATTTTTGTTTTCTTTTTTGGACAAAAAGTCACTTTTTTCTGTTGACAAAAAAGCCACAATCTTATTTTTGGTCGCTTTTTTTTGTAACTTGTAATTTTTCGATTGTGGCCTATTTCGTATTTTCAACTTTTCGACTTTCGATTTGTCGATCTTTTAGTGTTTCAATTTCTTGATGTTTGGGTGTTTGAATTTTTCGATGATTCGAATTTTCGACTTCTCGATTTTTCGATTTTCCAATTTCTCGCTTTTTCAGTTATTCAATTTTCCAATTTTTCGTAATTTCAGTTTTGGAATTTTTTAATTTTAAATTTTTGAGTTTTTTGGTATTTCGGTTTCTCGGTTTTTCAATTTTTCAGTTTTAAAATTTTTCGATTTTTAAGTTTTTCAATTTTCCGAGATTTCGATTTTTTGATTTTTCAATTTATAGATTTTTCGATTTATCGATTTCTTTTTTCGATTTTAAATTTATCAATTTTTCAGTTTTTAATCCGATTTTTCGATTTTGGCCTATTTCGTATTTTCAACTTTTCGACTTTCGATTTTTCGATCTTTTAGTGTTTCGATTTCTTGATGTTTTGAGTTTTTGAATTTTTCGATGTTTCGAATTTTCGACTTCTCGATTTTTCGATTTTCCAATTTTTCGCTTTTTCAGTTATTCAATTTTCCAATTTTTCGTAATTTCAGTTTTGGAATTTTTTAATTTTAAATTTTTGAGTTTTTTAGTATTTCGGTTTCTCGGTTTTTCAAATTTTCAGTTTTAAAATTTTTCGATTTTTAAGTTTTTCAATTTTTCGAGATTTCGATTTTTTGATTTTTCAATTTATAGATCTTTCGATTTATCGATTTCTTTTTTCAGTTTTAAATTTTTCAATTTTAAATTTATCAATTTTTCTATTTTTAATCCGATTTTTCGATTTTGGCATATTTCGTATTTTCAACTTTTCGGCTTTCGATTTTTCGATCTTTTCGTGTTTCGATTTCTTGATATTTGAGTTTTTGAATTTTTCGATGTTTCGAATTTTCGACTTCTCCACTTTTCGATTTTCCAATTTTTCGCTTTTTCAGTTATTCAATTTTCCAATTTTTCGTAATTTCAGTTCTGGTATTTTTTAATTTCTCGATTTTTCGGTTTTTCGATTCTTCAATGTTCCGATTCTTGATTTTTGCGATTTAAAATTTTTGTTTTCTGGGATTTTGATACATCTATATTAATATCATTTTTTCATACAAAAAAACAAAAAAAAATGTTATACCTCGTCTAGCGAGTCCCCTTAAGGCCGGAAAAATGTTTCAGAAGAGCTAAACCCATCAAAGCACTAGAGCAAGGTTGTTGTCTTTTACCTTTTAGTAATCTTAAAAAAATTGAAAAAAGAAGTTCTAAGATATGGAAATAGGCTGTTCACAAAGGTCGAAATTTCCATTTATAAGAAGAGTGGGCGCGCAGAACGAACTGATAACTGAGAATTAAAGACGAGATGCTAAATGTGGCATGCGACAATAGTCGTATGTAGAACCCCCATTAATATAAAAACAATATTTAAGTGAAATTTGAGTGTTTGTTCCTTAACGAAAAAGCTCAGGGAATTTTTATTCTTCTGTATCGAATACCAACACACTCACTAGATTTTCATGGCCAACCCTACTATATAAAGAGTAATTAAAGCGAAAAGATATGGGAAACTGAAATATGACAGTCGATGTTGTCATACTTTATAAAACACCTAATGAAACATGAGTAATTAAGAAAGATACAACATAAAACAGAAACGTGCAATTTATTAAAACGTGCAACATGTTCTTAACAAACACAAAAATTAGCATAAAGCAGCAATAATATTTATCTTCTTGTTGCCACTATCAAGGAGGGACATTAGCATACACCTACATTACAATCTTAATTAGTTCTTCTTAAAACATTAACGCATGCAATTATAGTAAATAACTAAAATAACACCTTCTTTAAAGTGTGAACAATTGACAACGAAACTTTAATGTTCTATATTCGCTACAGTACATACACAGTCACTTGGTACATTCACCCTAACGTACTCCGGTTTTTCGGTCTCTTCATCTACTCCCAACAGAGTAATAGTACTATATCTTTGTTCACATTGGGTTTGTCGGTACGTCCCTGACAAGCTCGTGCAGTGGTTTTTGCCTGCCGATTTTCTATTAAGAAAATACATTAAATTGATTGATAACTACTAAGTCTGTAGTGACTACTCACCTGCATATTTTACCCTTTACGATTTGCTTATATTTATCTGCGTTAACAATAAGTGTATGTCTATAGTTGACAGTTCTTACCGCGGAAGGAACATACGTTACATCTTCTGTCCAACATAAACTTTGGTACTCAGCTGGCGTACCTCCAGGAACAATATCAATCGGTGAACCTAAATACATTTATCTTTGTTAACAATTGGTTCAAGGGTATCATCGTCTGTCCAACTTAAACTTTACCACTAGTCTGACGTACCTACCATTTTTTGGAGTACCATCATCAGGAATTATCTCCAGTGTTTCGTAGACGGTTCCATTGGTAAAAAACGAGTGCAAAACTGGATAAAGATCGAGAATGTTCTTCAACTTCCCTTCTTGATCGACATCAATTTCCGTTTTGTTGCATATGTCATTTTCCGAGAAGCACTTCATCAAGTCCATGTTTGTCGATGGGTCACTGAATGAAGTTATCTGGAGCGGTAGGAATGAAAATCATTCGAATTAAGGCTGAAAATAATAAGCGATTAATCTCACCATCATGGGCACTAACAAGTGCAGGATTAGAGTCAGAAGTACTGTGTCGTTCATGGCGAATAACACTAAAATGAAGAAACTCTGAGGGGAATTTTACGCAATATTGTAAAGTTGACTATAATATTTATAAGGTTACAGAGCAGGATCTAATGCAACTGAAACATCAATTTCGCTAAGAAAGTTCAATTTATGGAAGAATTTTTACAATGGTAGGGATTCACTGACGTAGTGCTTGCATATATTTTCTAAGATTTTTTAACGCATTGTTTTAATCCTTTCTATTAAAGAATTGTTGAAACAAAGAAATCGGGCATTAACTTTGTTAGATTATGGGAGCAATACTTCAATTATCGAATCAGTGACATCTTATTTAATTTAATTATTCTATCGTTCTTCCAAAATCGTCAACTGAAATATAGCATTTTTTATAGTTACAGTGGCAAATAGTATAACAAAAAATTTTGGATTAGCGCTTTTTTTTACTTTTTGCTCATCCTAGATTCAATTAGTTTCCATTCTCACTCCATAGATGGACATAATTAGCCCCGCCCACCCACCCTGTCTTTACTTCAGTGATTGATTTCATCCGGTCTGACTGTATGAATGACCTTATTCTAAGGAGAAATAAAATTAGTCTTTAGAATGACAAGACTGGGGGTGGGCGGGGCTAGTACTTAATAAGATAAGCTGTTTTTGGCAAAGGCCATATCTTCCAAGAAAACAAGGGCGGGTGGGCGGGGCTAACATTTTATAAGAAATGACTGATTTTGACATTTTCGACTTGTTTTCAACCACTTTCGAAAATTAGTTTGCCATTTTCTTGTAGATTTACACATCCAGATACCATTTTCTTCTTCGTTTCTTCGAATATTTCTATCGTTCTTCCAAAATCGTCAACTGAAGTATAGCATTTTTTATAGTTCCAGTGGCAAATAGTAAAACAAAAAATTTTGGATTAGCGCTTTTTTTTACTTTTTGCTCATCCTAGATTCTATTAGTTTCCATTCCCACCCCATAGAAGGACATAATTAGCCCCGCCCACCCACCCTGTCTTTATTTCAGTGATTAATTTCATCCGGTCTGACTATGAATGACCTTATTCTGAGGAGAAATAAAATTAGTCTTTAGAATGACAAGACTGGGGGTGGGCGGGGCTAGTACTTAATAAGATAAGCTGTTTTTGGCAAATGGCATATCTTCCAAGAAAACAAGGGCGGGTGGGCGGGGCTAACATTTTATAAGAAATGACTGATTTTGACATTTTCGACTTGTTTTCAACCACTTTCGAAAATTAGTTTGACATTTTCTTGTAGATTTACACATCCAGATATCATTTTCTTCTTCGTTTCTTCGAATATTTCTATCGTTCTTCCAAAATCGTCAACTGAAATATAGCATTTTTTATAGTTCCAGTGGCAAATAGTAAAACAAAAAATTTTGGATTTGCGCTTTTTTTTAATTTTTGCTCATCCTAGATTCTATTAGTTTCCTTTCCCACTCCACAGAACTACAAAATTAGCATTTTATAGGATGTGACTGATTTTGCCATTTTCGACATCTTCGACCATTTTTCAACCAAACTTTTATAAAACAGTGTTCGCCATTTATATAAGTGTGATAAAGTGAAAAAGAAAGTGGTTGCTTTTAAATTCTTTACTATTCTGAAAACGAAAGAGAGCAATTTGGAAACCATTGGTACAAAATCTTGAAAATTGTCGGGGCAAAAACCCCAAGTTTTCGGACTACCCCTAAATAGTTTACATTTTTTTTTTAAGTCTGTAAGGCCCTTGAATTCAGCAGAATCCCTTATTAAAATTTTTCGCTTGATCTTCTAATTTCATTTTGGTACGAGATGTCATTGCTTAAAGAGATTTTTTCAAGATGAATTGACATGAATAAATCACAAGACGCAGTCGAGTGACTAAAAGAGTATTAACCGAGTACATTTTAATTTTTTTCCTAAAATAATTGATAGATGAACTCGTATTAAACTCTAATCAAAATTTATTGTAAACCTTGATAATAGTATGCGTCAAAGATCTCTGAAAGATAGATAATACTTTGGCAATGACAGTTCTTCAAGATTTCTTAATGAGAGATTTGAGTTTAACATACTTTCCCTTGTATGAAATTTCTGTTTGGAAACTGAAGATATCTGCAACAATTGAGAAGTTTCTAATAGAAAAAGAATTGGGCCTAAGACCGAGCTTTGGGGTACGCCTGATGTTATTAAGCCAATTTTGGATTTACCAGACTCGGTTACTCGATTATGTAAATAGGATTTAAAAAACGAAACAAATTTGATCGAACCCATAATTTTCCAGTTTGGCGCAGAGGAGATGGTGGTCCAAAGTATCAAAAGTTTTTGAATAATCCAAAAGAGTTACAACACTTGCATGGTTTCTGTCAAGTTCAATCAGGCAATCATCGATAACAGAAGCTAGAGCTGTCGTTGTGCTAAATCCCTTGCGAAAACCAGATTGATCTTCTGATAATATCTCTTCTTTTACTGTAAATTTAAAGATTTGATTATAGATACATTTTTCTAAAACTTTAGATAACGTTGGAAGAATACTTGGTCCTTAGGTCTTCAGGAGAATTTAGCTCATCGGTTTTGGGAATAAGATGAATTAAAGCCACTTTCCATAATTCTCGAAAGTAACCAGTCTCTAGACAGCAATTAACTATGTGAGTAATTGGCTGAACTATATTAGGACAATATAATTTAATCATGTAAGCAGAGATACCATCAACACCTATAGCATTCATTTATTTCATCAACACTGAATGTAGATAGATCACATCCTTTAACTTTTTTTTTTGAATATTTAACTTTTTAGAGCAACTTATTGTCTTTTTTTATTTGAACTATTACTTTCATAATGTAAGGACGCTTTTTTCCCGTTTCAATGTAGCAACCGTAGAACTTGTTAGCTGTTTATAAAATAGCCAGTGCTGTGCAGATTTTGTTTGTTTATACAAACTTAATGCGCGACTTCTTTGTTCCAACAATTTCTTAATAAAAGGGGTTAAAACATCTTAAAAAATATATGCAGGCACTACGTCATTGAATCCCTACCGTTGTAAAAATTCTTCCATAAGGTTAACTTTCCGATGCAAAATTTATGTTGCAGTTGCATTAGATTGTGCTCTGTAACCTTATAAATATAATAATCAGCTTTACAATATTGCGTAAAATTCCGCTAAGAGCTTCTTCATTCTTGTTTTATTCGTCATGAACTACACAGTACTTCTGACTCTAATCCTGCAGTTGTTAGTGCCCATGGTGGTCAGATTAATCGCTTATTGTTTTTAGCTCTAATTCGAAAGACATTCATTCCTTCCACTTATTTATTTTATTTTTAATTCCCATTATTAAAGTAAACACTTTTCTTCTTTAGTCCAGCTAACTTCATTCAGTAACTCTTCAACAAAAATGAGCTTGATGAATGACTGCTCCTCCGAATACAACTTATGCAACAAAACGGGACGCGATATTAATCGAGAACAAAAACTGAAGAACATTGTTGATTGTTATCCAGTTCTGCACTCCTTTTTCACCGATGAAACTGTCTTCGAAGCAGGAGAGGCACCTATGTACCGTCAAGCATACAGATTATTAAATTTTCGTTGACAGCTGTTGACATTTTAAAAATTCACTGGAGTCGTCGAAACAGTGCTGTCACGTGATATTTGGTGTAAAAAGAGGTGTTGATGGATTTTCAAAAAGTGTAATTTTTAGTTATTTATAGAAATTGTATGAGCTAATGTTTTAAGGAGAACTAATTAAAATTGTAATGTAAGAGAATATTATTGTGGTAACAAGGAGATAAAAATTTATTGCTGCTGTATGCTAATATTTCTGTTTGTTACATGTTGCATATTTAAATAAATTGCTTGTTTGTGTTTTATATTGCCTTTTTCTTCTGGTAAACTTAGCTAGGTTTCATTTGTTGTTTTATCAATTACGTCAACATTCATTGTCATATTTTAAATTCTTCTAGTTCAAGTGGGTTCAGGTCACTGAAATATTTTTCAATTATATCATAAGCAGAAATAAAATTTTGATGTGTAAATCTAGCAAGAAAATGGCAAGCTAATTTTCGAAAATGGTTGAAAAAAGTTTGAAAATGTCAAAATCAGTGTTATCTTATAAATCCTAGCCCCGGCCACCCGCCCTTATTTTCTTGATGATATGCCATCTGCCAAAAACAGTCTTATCTTATTAAGTACTAGTTCCGCCCATCCCCAGTCTTGTCATTCTAAAGACTAATTTTATTTCTGCGCAGAATAAGATCATTTATTATATTCAAACCGAATGAAATTTATCACTGAAATGAAGCTAGGGTGGCTGGGCGGGGCTAATTATATCCTTCAATGGAGTTGGAATGGAAACTAATAGAATCTAGGAAGTGCAAAAAGTAAAAAAAATCCGCTCGTCCTAAATTTTTTGTTTCAGTATTTGCTACTGGAACTATAAAAAGTTCTATATTTCAGTTGACGATTTTGTTAAAAGGATAGAAATGTTCGAAGAAACGAAGCCGAAAATGATATCTGGATGTGTAAATCTACAAGAAAATGGCAAACTAATTTTCGAAAGTGGTTGAAAAAAGGGTGTAAATGTCAAAATCAGTCATTTCTTATAAAATGCTAGCCCCGCCCACCCGCCCTTATTTTCTTGGAAGATATGCCATCTGCCAAAAACAGTCTTATCTTATTAAGTACTAGCCCCGCCCACCCCCAGTCTTGTCATTCTAAAGACTAATTTTATTTCTGCTCAGAATAAGATCATTCGTTACATTCAGACCGGATAAAATTAATCACTGAAATGAAGGCATGGTGGGTGGGTGGGGCTAATGATGTCCTTCTATGGAATCGTAATGGAAACTAATAGAATCTAGAATGTCCAAAAACTAAAAAAAAAGCGCTAATCCTAAATTTTTTGTTTAACTATTTGCCACTGGAACTATAAAAAATGCTACATTTCAGGTGACTATTTTGGAAGAACGATAGATATGTTCCAAGAAACGAAGCCCAAAATGATATCTGGATGT